GAGGAAATCGAGGCCCACCTCAGTGCCAAGGGCGTCATTGACTTTGAGAAGATCAACGAGTTGCCCTTCCTGGATGCATGTGTCCAGGGTGAGTCAAAGTTTAAGTTAATCATTGAAATTATATCTGATTATCTCCATACCACAGAAACCTTACGCCTCTTTCCCTTATTTGTTGCCCGTAAACTGTGCACAGAGCCCATTGAGTTGCCCAACAAGAAGGGCGAGAATTTTGTAGTGGAACGAGGCACCACGGTCATTGTGCCACATTGCTGCTTCATGTTGGATGAGGAATATTTCCCCAATCCACAGGCCTTCAAGCCGGAACGTTTCATGCAACCCGATGCTGCTAAGATGTATCGAGAGCAAGGCGTCTTCAATGGCTTTGGTGATGGTCCGCGCATTTGCATAGGTAGAGCATTGGAAAGCAGACCATGTAAACAATATTTTTTAAAATTTTTTTCACTGCTTCCAGGCATGCGCTTTGCCTTGGTACAGATCAAGGCCGCTATTGTGGAGGTGTTGACCAAGTTCAATATTCGTATTAATCCCAAAACCCGCAAGGATATCCTATATGATCCCAGGACCTTTCTGACGACCCTGAAAGGCGGCATTTGGCTGGACTTTGAGGAGCGTCAATGAAGCGTAAATATATTTAAATATCGTTAAATCGATAGAATGATATACATAACATCTAGATGCATTTCAGCTATCAATCAATACCTGCAATCGAAATTCTACGATTGAAATTATACATGCAAATATATAAATTCATGCTTTTAGTATGTATATTTTTTAAAAGATAAATAAAAATTATAAAAGAGTATGCATTTTCTATTAAATATTAATGCACATTTGAATATGAATAATATGGTACGTATATTCACATATAAGTTATCTAAATTAGAATCTTAATTTTAAATCGAACCCCCAAAATAAAACACAAAATAAATAATTATTTATAAATAAAATTAAGATTTTGTGTGCACTGCAAATACTAATTCCAATAGTAATAAAAAATTGCTACTACTGCTATAATTATTTTAATAATATTTCGACTAAGTTAATTTTTAT